AAAAAAAAATCCATAAATATTAATTATGTTTTTCTATCAAATAAAGTTTCTGTACTTTTGTTACGAAGAAAAAAAAGAAACTCAATTAAAATTGGAAATGTTACGTCTCAGTTATTTCTTAATGGACTGCCTTGAAATTTGGTATGTGAAATAAGAGTCCAGTAGAGCACATCCACTGAAAATATGCAATAGTTTAGATTACCACAGTCCCAGCTACAGAAGATGGAAAAATGCTAAACTATTACTCTTGTTAATAACATACAGTATGTCCTGCAGGTTGTTTTTTTTGGCCACATAACACACTACCATGTGTCTTGATATCACAAGTATATTTATGTGCACCGACGAGGTCAAAGTACACATGTCAGAACTTCTATAGTTACATTCAGATTTTAGTTAAATAACTTTACTACCAGTGTATCAATAAATATGAAATGAAAACATAGTTTATAATTAAAATTTTAATGTTTTAATTTCAAAAAGGAAAATCTAAATATGCTCTCAGCCCTCACTTCTACGTATCATGTAATGCTTCTTTTGTTGTGAATTCTACATTTTAAATTTTCTTTCCTCCTTTATATGGGTTTCAGAATGTCCACCAATTAGAAACACCAACTATAGATATTAACAGGCCAGAATATAAAATAACAACCTCCAATCCATATTTTCAGAGATATCAATAAATTTTATTTATATAGATTTCAGAATGTCCACCAATTAGAAACACCAACTATAGATATTAACAGGGCCAGAGTATAAAATAACAACCTCCAACCCATATTTTCTGAGATATCAATAAATTTGATTTATATAGATTTCAGAATGTCCACCAATTAGAAACACCAACTATAGATATTAACAGGCCAGAATATAAAATAACAACCTCCAACCCATATTTTCTGAGATATCAATAAATTTGATTTATATAGATTTCAGAATATCCACCAATTAGAAACACCAACTATAGATATTAAAAAACCAGAATATAAAATTTATTTGCATGTATATCTTTTATTTATTGATACATAGTTTTTAACACAAGAAACTAAAACGTAAAAAAAAATGCCTCAATTAGTGTACGAGGAACATAAGAATTTAGACATCAAGTGATGAAAACTGAAATTTTGTTTAACCTAAACTCTCTACACTTCTGCTAGATGATTTATTACTACTTGCAGAAGTTGGACATAGTTTAAAGAGCAATAATTCAATAAAATTAAATGAAGATAGATGTAAAATGTTATAAGCTTGTGGCTGCTTACGATTAATAATTGAAATTTTTATTACAATCTATCGTAATTATAAAAATAAAGAAGGGGTAATTTAGATTTATTTTGTACTTTTCTGTGGTGGCTACAAGATTGGTCAAATATAAAGAGTCCATATATAGTTAGGGTAGAGTAAATAACAGATAAAACTATAAGCCGTAATGAAAAAAAAATTTGATATTCATTTATGAAGTTCTAGAGATCATGCAAATGAAAACTGTAATATGAAATAGAGTATTTTTTAATTCTTAACATGAAAAACACCTTGTACTCAGACTAGTCATAATCTGAATCAGATTTACTCAGTAAGATTACGAACAAACATTTAGTAAAAATACTTTATAAAAAAAAATACTGATTTTTTGTGTACAAAATACATGTAATGCTTACTAAAAGATGACCAAATTTCATAAAGATACGTTACAAATTCAGAATTATAGTAAACATTTTTTCAGCATTTTTTACTGGCTAAAAAACATGACCATATAGTGAATTGAATACATTCATATTATCAGTGGAATAGTGGAAATAATAGAAATTAGTAACAATTGGAAACAGTTCTTTTGACTGGTTGATTATTTTAGTGAATCATCACAATAATCTATTAATCTTAACAACCGCAAATTGATCAAAATTAATAATCAGAATTTTTACTTAAGCATTTTTTTACTAAAAATTTGTCCAGAATGTTGACTGCTCTGAATGCAAAGTGATTTTCATAGTGAGAATACAAATATTTTTCTTCACCTGAAAACTGTAAAATTTCATTTGCTTAATCTCTAAAACCTCCTAAATAAATATTAAATGTTTTGGCCAAGTAAAACTTTATATTCTATCTGTTATTTTCTTTATCCTAACTATATGCATTCAGTTTATAACCACCATAAAAAAATACAAAATTAATACAGAAAAAGAATGACTGAAGGATAACATAATAAAGTTTTACATTTGTAGTTTTGAGTGGTTAGTACTACAATTAAAATAACATCATATATAAGACCCTATCAAGATCTTACCATGATCACCAACATTTTTAGCTTTCAATTCTAACATTCTAACAATAGATTCCAAGCTTTCAATTTTTCCCATTTGTTCCTGACGATCATCATCTATCGCACACTCGTACTCCAAAAGTTTCTAATAAAAAAAACAAAACGATATATTGTCAACTGTAAATTAACTTCTCTGGAATTTAACAGAAACATGTTATAAATTTCACATGGTACACCCTTTAATAATACTCAAAACACTGTAAAACCACGAGGCTTGGCTACAGAGCACCTGCATAACACGTGCTCTGAAGGATTTGATCATTCTCAACCAACCACCACATTAACTTTCAGTAAATCACCAGGGTGATAATCATTTAATATGTAGAGTTAATTTTTAATTTATCAAATATAACTGTTAAAAGTTGTGCTTCAATGTAAATTTAAAAAATGTTACACGAGCTATCTCTAACGCTAATGCCAGCATTACATTCACTGAGACGTGTTCTTATTCATTGCTACAGAGAAACTGAGACAGAAATACATTCATTGGGGAATAGAACTGGGCAATTTGTTGAATCATTGGGCTCAGTAATCAATTACATTCAACTAATCAATTATTCTCATGAGTTAGTTAAAGAAAAACAACTCACTCTGACATGTGGTGAGAAGAGCACAGATAGCCCACTGTTTAGCTTTGTGCTTAACAAACAAACAAACACAATGGGAATATTTCGATCACTTGGATCGTTGGAATAATCAAGAATAGTAATAATTAGAAAACGAATTTCAATTAGATGATTATTTTCATAAATCTAGACACTAATAGAACAAGTTCTGATTAATCAAAAATAATAATGAAGTCATGATGGTAATATTTTAAACTACTATATAGTTGGAATAATTTGAAAGTTATAATTTTCCTGTACAGAAAATGTATTTCCAATAGGTACTTACCTCATCTCAGATAAATAGTTATTATCATTCAGTGCTGCCCTCTATATAGAAAAAAAAATTTGCATGCCACAAGCCTTGAGCTCCCATGTAACCTATGATCAACATGGTTCAACTGTGTCTCTCATGCAAATCACCATGCGACAACCCACCATCAATAGAGTCATGACACACCCTTTTGACATGTGACTCCCTCTATTTGATTCTACTGAACTCTCACATCCAGTTTTGTCAGGAAAAGGAAGCATCAGTTTTTAGTGGGTATGAAGGGTGGGAAGTGTGAACAGAAGTAAGTACCTATAGGAAATACATTTTCAGTATAGAAAAATTATAACTTCCAATAAAGTACAATACCTCCACCCCATAAATAGCTAGAATCCCACAATGAATAGGTGGAGGGACCAGTGTGAGGAAGAAAGTAGAAGCATCCTTCAAAAATGTCCAAAGAACACCCTAAAAGGGAGGATCCTCGTAGTAGAAGATCATATTGGCGGCAAGTTAACTACAATCCACAACCCAGCCATCTAGTGGGGGTAGGAATGAGGATTCACCTCAAGTTCAGCAGACCAGAAGGAAATATCATACCCACTGATCTGTGAACAGGACACATGATAGCAAAGTGATAAAAAGAACCAAGAAGTGATTGAGGCAGGACAGATTGATCACAGAACTCCAACGTGCATCAAGAATACATCACTAATGGAGGAACTCTTAGATGTAGGATATGCCAGTAATAGGAAGATGCCGGACATGGAACACGAATGAAGAATGTAATGGCTAAAGAGACAAACAAGCAACCAAAGAGAGAAAAAATTGAATGTAGCAACACAGATACCCCACATGATGCTAAAGTCACAGGAATAACACCTCTAAAAAAAACAGACCGGTGGTGGAAAAGAGCCGTCCATAAGTCCCAATTAGAAGTGGAAGGGAAACAAACTTGGTACAAGACAGTGTCCTACCCAAGAAGATTCCAAAAGCAAAAAAGCTAAGTGTGTAGGGAAAGAGCCAAAGATGGCAATTACCCCAACTTGGAGTTAAGGAGGAGGAAGGTATCCCACAAAAGTCCCTAAAAAATATGTGGAATGATTCAGAAAGGTGTATAACAGTTTACCAGTAGGAGAGGCTGTAAAACTTATCTAGGAAGAAAGGGATATGATTAACAGATTCTGCCCCCCATATAGGCAACAGAGATTCAAAATGCAGAGAAGCAAGAAAAAAACAATCTGCTTGATGGTAAGCTAAGGCACAACGAACCTAAGCCCGTGGAAGGTGAGACAGGCCAGCACAACCTCTCCAAAATTTCTGGAAAAGGAGGGAAAAATATACATGTATAAAACAGGTTGAGGTAGCCATAGCAGACTCCACAGTAGAGGCCTGGGAAGGCTAAGTCATAATCAGGTGAAGGAGAATTTCAACCCGAACTAGTATGGCAGTTTAAGGAGGAGGGCGAGCAATACCAAAAGAAGGTTGGGCAGACTCTAAGCCCAGGTATCCTCACAAACCAAATTAATTGAAAGAAGTATAGAACATAATAAATTAAGAAAATGAAAAAGTCATTATATTTTACAATTAAGTAAGTGTATATTGACAATAAAAAATTTAGCAGATAGTATTTGTTGAAGAAACAACATATTTAACCTAATTTATGATTTACCAGTAAGATGAATGACAGGTAAGTCTAAAATAATAGACACATTAAGCCTAATTTAAAATTGTAGGACAAAGTATATCACTAAACATTAATTCAAAAACCCTAACCTTACAAGAAGTAGGTACAAATCTAACTAAACTATGTTATTGAAACCAAAGAACAACAAATTATAATATTAATAAAATTATTTAAAAACTGTAACAGTATACCAGCTTATCTGTCCAAAGTCAGCAGACCATATTCCAAGGTTGTGGGCCCTCAAACTCAAAGCCCAATAAAGGTCAAATTATATAACAATCAATCTCTCAATGTATGAAAGTTGACAATTACTCAGTTCAGTACCACCATCTGAAGCCAGGGTAATTGTGCTGGAAGTAATTGATAACATTTGCGAAGTGGAAACATCAGCTCGGTAAAAAAAACAAATGTGAAGAACAATAAAGGTAAATTAACACTTAAAACTGGTAAAGTAAAAAAAAAAAAATTTCCACTTTGTATGAAATGCTAAAAAACAAACAAAGGGTGTCTGGATAATAGCACTGCCAAACGAAAAGTGACAGTTCAGTAGAACTGAACAGACAGAGCCACATGCATCAGGAGGGTGTGTCACACTCCTATTGGTAGAGGGTTGTCGCACGATGATACATTGATCATGGGGTACATGGGAGCTCAAGACTTGCGGCATGTGAAAAACGTTTTTGCATACAGAGGGCAGCAGTGAAGGAAAATAGCTATTTATGTGAGATAACTAATCAAAATTAATATTTCCAATAAGGTACATCACCTCATTTTCATAACATCAATAGATTTAATTGTAATTTTGATTAGTGTATAGTTGGAATAATCAAAAACAATAATTGGCCAGATATTATAAATCACAAGAAATCTTATATACACACACTCCTCCTTTCATGGCCACGTATCAAGATGGATATAACACACAAAATACTCTTTCTATGTTCATGTATCAAGGCTTTTTACTCTTCAATTAAATATTCTTTATTTGTACACACTTGTTCATTCACTATCAAAGTGTCAAAAATATAAGATCTTGCTCTATTACTTACACATCTGATAACGAAACCTATGGATCTCACATACTGGAAAAGTATGACATTATGACATTCTATCATGTACAAAATGAAATCATGTATTAAATACAGTTTAGGTGTATGAAAACATTTCTTGAGGACAATATTTGCAATAAAACAATAGGTGATTTGCAAGCAGCATGCTCAAAAATTACCTAACTATTCAGAAGTTGAGGTAGGGAATCCTAGAAAACTATAATTCCCAGCCACAGAAGCATGCAGTACGAAATTATAGTTTTGAATATATAATTCTCAGATAAATAAAATATGAGTGATTGTACACGAAACAACAAATGGAAAACATCTACATTATTAATACATGCTGAACTGGCATGATATATTAAAAGGCAAACATATTCCCACTAGTTGAAATCTGCTTTAAAAACTATCGCAATTATCGTTAAAGTCATCATCTGCCGTTTGTCAGAGAGCGAATGTTAAAACTGAAACCAGCATGTCAGTTTGAATTGGCTTAACCAATAAAGGCCGGTGATACATCAAATGTTAGCTCTCTTCATTCTCTACTTTGGTCTGGCCAGTTTCATTGGATCAAGAAGCATTTACTATTCAAAAACTCACGTATAAAACTTTAAAACCACTTAAAATTCTATTTAGATACTGAATCGATTGAAACATGGGTGTACAATAAACTTGGTGTTACTGACTACATAATGAATCAATTGATACATAACTGCATCTGCTCATATCGAACCAACATCATGTCAAAAAATGATGAGTAGGGATTGTAGAACAGCATTCAACATACCACGTGACACACAAAAATCAATATTTATCTGTGTTTTTTAATATTTGCTTTTAAATTAACAAATTGAGTAATGTATAGTTCTAAAATTTGAATTATAATCTACAGTTTGATACCAAACTTATTGACATAAATTCATAAATTTTGAATGCGAGTCAACAAACAAGATGACATGACTTTTCACCCGTGATCTGTCTCAAAAGGGTTAAATAATATCATGGTATATCCGTACTTATTACAAACTTCATTAATAATTCATAGACAAATGTTTATTTCCTTAGCTTTTGTATTACAATTATATCTTGGGATAACTTATATCTTGAACTTTACATCATGACAAAGAAGGGGTGGAGTTTAGTACTCGTACATATCTGTCAATCACAGTATTTCAAGTTTTCAACCAATGTCAAGATCTCTCCTTTACATTTATAAGTTCATAGGTAAGTTCATTCTTCATTTCTAACATTTCATTCTTAAAAATGTTTATTTATCCATACAATATGTATCCATGTGTATGAGTTTGACATTGATTGATTCACTTGAGACTACATTTCATCATGCCTTGACACAGTATCAGGTTACCAGATAAAGCTATAAATCACTCATATTTTGTTAACATTGTTCCAATGGGATGGTAGTGTGTAATGAAAGGTTGATTTTCAGATATGATTTAATTATGAACTAAACAATTTAACTTACAGTGTAAATCTACTCATACGTGTCTGTGGAATCCAATGATATGTGAATTATTTTGTTATTTTCATTATTTAAAAATCAACAAAACTTCCTACTTACTTGAGGAGAATAAAAATTAAAAAAGTCGAAGGTTAGGAACCTTTTAAAGTTTCAGCGATATTATACAGTGTGGAAATGAAATGTTTATCTAGTACTTACAAGTTTGTTTTTAACATCTGTATCTAGTTGGACATTTCCAGTAGTCTTGCATGTCATATTTTGATGTAAACACACATGTATTATTACACAAATTTATAACAACATTCACCTTTGACCTTTATGTCTTCACTTTAAAAACTGAAATGCAATGCAAGGGACATTTTTTGATTAAATATGGCAAATCAAACATTTTTAAATAACTTCAAGTTTGGATACACACTTAGCCTTGACTTCAACTTTGGATACACACTTGGCCTTGTTAACTTTAAGCATAGCTAGTCTAGAGTGGAAAATGAATTTTATAAATTCTTGACTACTTCTCCATTGTCAGTAAGGATCTTTGAAATCAAACTCCTAAACTTCAGTACATTTTGTCAGATGGGTTGTATGTTTAGGTAATGTTTTGTATAAATATGTTGGTGTGACTGCACTTAAATTTCACTTGCTTGATTGGGTGACAAGTGACCACACTGGTCTTATTTGGTAATTTTGACTACTAAATACAAAATGTGCAATCAATCTATAGTCATTTTTTGGTTCAAGATCATTATAAGTTTTTCTTGGAAAAAACTGAAGACATTATCTTTCTGTTGTATCAATAAAATCTAAGATCAATACATAATGAACATGGAAGTTTAACACTGTCATCATTAAGCTGTTACAGAAAGTAACAGTGCAACAACACTTTAATTACATCTTATTTGCCTTTCGTTTTTCAAGTATTACTACTAGTACTAGCCAAATTCTTACCTGTTCAGAGCTTTTTCTTAGCTGTTTTTCCCTTTCGTACTGTGTCACTAACTGTTCGTTATCTTCTCTCAATAATTCTAATTCAACTTCATGTTCCTGAATATCCATATATGCTAAATCCAAACTTTCAAGAACATTAACTACCAGTGGCATTAACTCTTTAACAACGTCTTCATCATATCTGGTAATCATTTTTTGAAATTCTTGATATATGCTTCCAGCAAGATTTTGAACCTTTTCAGACATAACAACATGATTATCATCATTACTAGTCCCATATATTGTTTCTTGCATTGGGGATATTCTTGATGAGCTTGAAGATGTTGGACTTGACTCCATCTCCTTTACAAGTTAAGATTTTTCTAACAACTTATGTAACTTTGTAGTTTGCACTGAAAAGTGTGCTTAGCTATTAGTATTATTCGCGAATTCGTAAGTAAAATCTCATTTATTTAAAATATCGTAAAATGAACATATTATCCAAGATCCAAAACAGACGAGTATGAAGTAAAAACTACACTCACTAATGACTAACAAAGATATATAATATACTTATGAATTTTAGTTTATACTGCGTAGGAATGTAATTCTAAGATTTGGCTCACAATGTAAATTTAGCCAGTAGGCCCAAGTTAATTTTTTACGTTGCACCGATGGTCTTTCCCTACCCTGTTAATGTTACTGGGTTACAACACTGCAAATTTTTAAAAGTAGGCCTAAACTATCACCCACAGGTGGCTTAATTGTTAAATTAATCAAGTCACGATTAACTTAAACTTAAGCCTAACATGCGAACGTTAACATCTACGATGTTTCATTCCCCAAAATACAAGAATGGCAAATATATATATATATAAAGAGAGAAGGAGAAATATTTCAAAAACATTATTTTCGTCGACTTAATTATGGGGTATAGTTATAATATTAAAGAACATATTATGCTAAATAGAACACACAATGAATATTCGAGAACCATCAGGAGACAGCTATCGATCTCATTCGGCTGTTTCCGTTCTCAGTCATATGATATTACGCTTTTGCACATGCGCATTATTGTTATTGTTTGTAATACATAGTGCGAAGTGAAATGAATTTCTCGATAACTTTACTATTCGACTTGTAATTTTCAAGCAGCTAATTCATATTATTAATCTCGTTTCTCAACAATTTCATTATCTGTAAAATACTTATAAATTTTTCCTAGCGTTACAAACAAATCTGTTGAACTTCCAAAATCCAGTATGAGTTCTTTTGCAAAGCTTATCGGTAAGCAAGTTAGAATCGGATGTGCTAGTGGGTTTTGGGGTGACACAGCGACTGCAGGTTAGTAATAAACAAATCACGCCTACTCCATTTTTTTTCTCGACAAATATATATATATATATATATATATGCCTTTCTGTATAAAGCCTACCTTGTTAGGTTTACTTTAACATAAGTATATCTTATAGAAGAAGTATACATCTATGATTTAATCTATAAAATTATAATTTGATCTGATAATTAAAATGTACAGCAAATAAAATAAAAATAACATATAATGTAGTTTATTTGTTAAGAATTTGAAAGATGCAGAGACATTTTATTTTTTATAGGTTTTTCAATGTTACCCAGAACTTAGCTATACAATTTAATAAAAAGAAGGTTACTATTAATGTGTTATCTTGTGTAAAACTGGTGAGACCTTGTTTGAAGTATTTTTTGCAATGTTTGACTCCTTACTACAAGAGGGATATCTCAAATGCAATGATATGAACTAGTCTTAAAGTTAAACTTAAAGAGAAAAAAAACCCTCAAAACTAGCCCTTACCATTCAATTATTCATCAAGCCTTCCCTTTACATTCACTGCATCTACCACATCTGAGGACAACTATTTCCAAAGACCGACCACTCTATTAGAAAAATAATACTCTATTTATATCCTATCCTATCCTACTAAAATTTAGTCATACCATTCTCACCCTTAAGTATTAAAAAAATATGATGCATCAATGCTATCAATTTCTTTAATAACTTTAAACACACCTCAGTCAAATCCCCTCTAACTCTTTCTTTTTTCAAGAAAAACTATTTAAGTGATTTTAATTTGTCCTTGCGTGACAACTTTTCCATCCCATGTATCATCCTATTAGCCCTCCTCTGAACCCTTTCCAACAATTCCATTTCCTTCTAAAACTGTAGATTATAATTCCAATTTCTGTACTATACATTACTCAATTTCTTAACTTAAAAGCAAATATTAAAATAACACAGATAAACATTGA